GCTTTTTAAGGTCAATTTTGAAAATGCTTATGATAAGGTTAATTGGAAGTATCTCAAGTATATAATGTCTAGGATGAGCTTTGGAGATAAGTGATTACTTTGGATGGAGGCTTTGATTTTCACTAGCCACATGTTGGTTTTGGTGAACAATAGCCCAACGAAAGAATTTAGTGTGGGAAGGGGGCTGAGACATGGAGATCCATTATCACCTTTTTTGTTTGTTCTTGTAGCGAATGGGTTGTCCAAACTGGTTAGGAAGGCCAAGGATCTAGGTGAATTCTCGGGTTTCAATGTTAAGGGAAGTTGTGTTATGGATATCCTACAGTTTACGGATGACACTCTATTGGTTGAAGCAGGTGGTTGGAAACACATTTAGGCCCTTAAATCGATTCTTAGAGGTTTTGAAGTGGTGTTGGGATTAGGGGTTAATTACCATAAGATTAAGTTGATTGGAATTAACCTGGGAAATCATTTTCTGAATGTTACAACTAACTTTTTGTCCTATAGAATTGAAGGTAGCGCATTTTCTTTCCTTGACATTCAAATTGGTACTAATTCATGTCAGGTTTCCTCGTGGACACCCTTTGAATGACAAGATGAAGAAGCGGCTTACTATATGGTCAGAAAGGTTCCTCAACTTGGGAGGTAGAGTCACTTTGTTGAAATCGGTCATGAGTAGTCTCTCTATTTTTCCATTATCTTTCTTTAGAGCCCCGATTTCGATTTGCAAAGAAATTGCTAGGATTCAGAGTAATTTTATTTGGGGAGGAACGAAAGATAGAAGGATGATACATTGGATAGGGTAGGAGAAAGTGTGTTCGTCGATTGATAAAGGAGGATTGGGATTAAATAGAATTGAGGAATTCAATATGGATTTGTTATTAAAATGGAAATGGAGGATTTTGCAAGGAGAAGATTCTTTATGGATCAACACTCTTAGGGCGAGATACGGTGATTTAAATTACCACATGCTTTCTGGTGTTAGTGCAAGGGACAACGGTTCAAAATCGACATGGTGGAAAGATATCATATCAATGGAAAAGAGGAAACACGTTGACATTTTTGCCGGTAATTACAGGTTTTTGCTGGGAAGTGGGGATGCCATTCCTTTTTGGCATGCTTCATGGGCTAATAATCGTATTTTGAAATTTGCTTTTCCAGGATTATACGGGCTGAGCTTGGCTAATCGAAGTTCTATCGCGGATATGGGGGTTTGGTTCTGGATTCTTGGTCCTGGGGGGACCTTGGCGTCTCAAATTCTCTCCATCAAGGCACGAGCAGCGAGTTACAGGAACTGTTGGACATTCTGGTACAACATAAACCAATTGTTGCGGTTTCAGATTCGGTCCATTGGCATCTGAACTGCGCAGAGGGTTATTCGGCGAAGAGCAGATATGAGTTGTTGATTTTTCCCATCAGCAGGAGCCTACGTCGACAGCCTTTGAGAATATCTTCTATTTGATTTGGAAATCCTCGATCTCGTATCATTTTAGAGCTTTTGGTTGGAGATATTTTCATAACCAGATCGCAACGAAGGACCAATTGTCTCGTAGAGGTATTTTATCTCCTTCTTCTAATTTTGGTTGCACTTTTTATTCTACTGAAAAAGAGAATTTATTTCATCTTATTTTGGACTGTGATATTTCAATTTCGGTTTGGAAAATTATGTCGAATTGGATTGGGGTGGCACTTACCCTCCAAGATTCGGTCATGAAGAGTTTCATGTTTTGATTTCAGTTTTGTAAAAACAAAAAAGTGAAAATAGGTAGTTAATCTATTGTGTGGATGAAAGTTATTTGAAATTTATGGAGGACGTGAAATGCTTTTGTGTTTAACAACAAAGGTTGCAATGTATCGGATATCGTTTAAAACTCTAAAGTATCGACATGGAAATGATCTCTTATAGACGATATTTCTTTTACAAAATATAATTTTTATGAATTTTACAAAGATCCATTGCACTTCTTAACTTAAGTGTCATTTGATTAAGAATTTCTCCTTTTTCCGAACTTTGTTTTAGATTTTTGTAATCGAGTTATGGTACCACTAAAACTCTCTTAATCAATCTTTGCTTTAAAAAATCCATCCAAACACGTATAAATTTTCTCATACTTGCTAAAATTGAATTAAACATATATTATTTAAATTTTGGTATTTATATGACTAAAACACATAAATACATACAAGTTAAAAATTTAAAATCATATACAAATATGCGTGATTAGCTACTTACTTTTTTTTTTGAACTTTTATTCTTACTAGTATACTATCTTATGTCTAACACTAATGAATTGATATGATAGATTTCAATATCATGTTAAATTTATATTTTTTACTAATGAATTGATATGATAGATTTCAATATCATGTTAAATTTATATTTTTTATATAATTATTTTTACAAAATCAACTTTTATAAAATGATCGAGTAATATCACTTTATATAAATTCAATTTAACCTAATTTTTAATTCTCTGTGGAATTTTTATTTTACCTAATAGTACATATTGTCTATAATCTTTCATATTGTATTCGCTCAAGTTGTTTTTCATTTCCCACTTTCATATCATGTGTACACGACAAAGCACAGCAAGGAAATTGTTTGTTATATGTAGCATGCATGAATATTCCCCAATAAATGAAACCTTTTGTAGTAAAGCAAAGGATAAAAAGAAAAGATTGATAAGTGAAAAATTCAAGACAGGTGAAAGAACCTTTCAAATCTATCACCATCTTTCCTACTCAAAAAATCTTGTTTCACACAAACCCTTCCACTTAAAGACACACCACATGCACTCTTTTTTCTCATATATTCAATGGTCTACAAAATTTTAAGTAAAAAAGAAAAAGTAAACTTTGTATTGATTTCTACCGTTAAATATGGCTAACGGTGAGAATTAAAGGGCCTTTCTTTTGATCACTTGAAAGAGTATCCAATTCTTCACAAAAGCATAGTGACATTTCTATCAAAATATTCTTTATCTTCACTTTTTTTTTTAATATTTTCGTTTTCAATTAAAAGGGTCCTTTTTTTAAAATATTTCATGCTTTGAATTTATTCCCTCCTTTTGTTACATAGGTTCATCTCAATATGATGACTGATTGACTGGTGTTTCTCTAAAGTTTTGCAGTATAAGACCTTTTAAATGGTTGCAAGTGGAATGAAATGAAGAAAGGCATATCCCTGCATACTTAACATATTTCTCACATATTAAAAAAAAATTGATGGTATAATTAAATGATTTTTTTTGTTTTGTTTTGAAGGGTGTGATTTTTAAGAAAACCTGAAGGCTGTAAAAGTAGTTCTTTAAAGAATATATGCATTTGATGCTTATAAATGATGGTCCATTGGTGACCACATATAAGATTAGTCCAAAGGAAACTTAATCCACAAGATAAATGTAAAGAGAGTGGTTCCACTACAGCACTATGGTAGTACACGTATTTTTAGGTTCTAGTGTACAAACCTATGTGTCTAGAAAAAGAGATTATATGAGTGACCAAAATGTACTTTCACTTACTCCTTACTCATGTCTTATTTAACAAGGGTACTTTGAATGGGTGATATGGGGATTTAAATCCCCTGTGCACTCAAAATTCACTGGTCACTGCTTTCACTCAGTCAGACATTCTTGGTCGATCATGAAAAATAAATTCTATTTTTTTTGGACCATTCGATTAAGATCAAACAGCTTATAATATTTTGACTGCGTGAATGCGTTAAAAGTTTGACTGCAGTGGATTTATGTTCAAAATTCCCAGTCCATGCAAGGGCAATTTGTGGGATATTTATGTCATTTCCTCACTCATAATATGAGATAGAATAAAATGGTAAATAATGAAATTCTATTATTTAGATTTGTAAATAATAGATGGAACAAAATAAAACACGATAAAATCCATTACATTCTATTTCATCTAATTATTCAATTTTCATTTAATTCGATTTAGAGTGTATATAATAAAATGTAATTTGTTATAGTTCGTCAAATTATAAAAAATATGTAAACAAAAAGATAAAATCTATGTTTCATTCCACTCTACTTCACTTCATTTTATCATGTTTAGTTCCGCTCCGCTTGAATTCCATCAATCCAAAATATAGTCTAAAAGAATTAACTTTGCTTAAATTTAATTAGTTGTAAATCTTGTAAAAAAATAAAACTTATTACTTTAAAGGTAATTTAAAAATGACATCCTTAAATAAACTGAAAGTAGTTAAATTAAAATATATGAGGGTGTATAGAAGTAAACAGTAGAAGACAGTGTCCACTGGAATCATCTAAAACATTAAACATATCCCTTTGCTAATAACGGTTTTTGTTTGTTCCTTTCTCTTCCAGTTTTACCATGTCAGTTTTTTATTGTCAAGTAAAATCCAGAACTCCCTATAGACAGAAGCTCTCACTCAACCATCTATATTTTGACTAAACCCATCAAACGAGGTACCTTAAAGTACAGTGACATTGATCAGTCTTAGCCACATTGGAAACAAAAACCCTAACCTACTTATTTATTACTATCTTCACACTGTTCATTCACACAAAAGAAAGGAAACAAAAAGGGCGTGCTAAAGAATGCCAAAATTTAAGAGAAAGTGTCTGTATTGAAATTGAAAAGCAATAAACAGCCTACTATTTTTCATATATCTTCCACATGGACATATCCCTACACAGGATGATGATTTATCAATCTGTCGGTGATGTGTGGGTCCCACCATGTTTTCTTTGCCAAACAGCTAGCAGAAAAAGGCAAGTATCTTTGCTTTGTAGGAAACAAACAATACATGAAGAGGTAGTCCATCATAGTTCATGCACACAAAATCAACCATCCATTTGGCTAAAATTCTGATACAATGTGTAACAAACCTTTTTAACAGACAAACAACAACATCCCCGACATTAGTAAATTCCTGGATTAAGAGTTACAACTAACAACCACAGAATGACATTGGGAAGAAAAATATATTTAGTATATGTGCTATGAGAGTGTATCTTTCTTCATGAGGAAGGTAGCACATTGTTGTTATTAAGAAATCCAAAATCCCCAAAAAGACCCTGCATCATGGAAGAAAACAAAAGAGTCCCGTAAAGCTCCAATAATACATTAGCAAATAGGAGAAATGCAATAAATATAGTCCGACCCACCACCGTCTCGTAAAGTAGCTGAAGATTTTACCACTTTCTTACAGGACAGAATAATAAGGATCAAGATCATACCATTGCATCGTTGATTGCATAAGCCACACAGTAGTGCTCCTGAAATTAAATAGCGTCGATAGAATATTCAGATACTAGTAGGGGAATAAACAAATGAGGAGTTCCTCATTAATCCATAACAAAGTATGTGATTGACTGTTGGTTTGTCAGTAATTAATCACATTAAACTGGGCTAATGCTTATATCATAAATTTCAATTTTACTTTTCATCTCAACAAAATGACTTCCAAATAGAAGAAACAATGAAACTGCAACTGGCACCCCCACTTAAAATGACATAGTCAACTCTGCTCTAGGACCAGTGGACCACCAAGCAAAGTGTATAGAACGGACTTATCAGAAAAAGTGTATCGAGCAGAATTCAGACACTTTTCATAACAAAAGGACTCACCTGCATCATGTACCACTCTTCAAATTCATCAAACAATTCCAAACGTTCAATCCTAAACAGTAAAGTATCACCAATCAGTTGATCTTGATATTACTTAAAAAAGAAACAGTCTCTCAATCATTAATGAATTAGATAAAATGAGCATATACGGCACGAATCAAGGGAGAACGACCTTTCTTGTGAAGACATAAACTTTAGTATCCAATGGTAATTAAATAGTTCCACCATTTGACATTCGTAAGATATGAGGAGAATCAAGGAAGAACAGCTTTTAATACGAAGATATAAACTTATGTATCCAATGGTGAATAAATAGTTCTGCCATTTGACATTCATAAGAACTTGGTAAGACATAATGCTTTGTAATGGTTAAGATCTTGATGGAAGTTAAAAACTAGACAAGGTCTCCCTAATAGAGAAGCCACGAAAAGCAAGCATCAAGAGAAAGCAACTATTACAGATGCTACTCAGGCAGTGCTTGGGGACCACCACCCCACCACCTTAAGAAATTTGATTAATTTTACTGTATTATTGTTCTTGCACACTACACTTTTATCACACCTCTCCTGCCTTAATGATCCACTTGTATTCTTACTATGTGCCAACATATATGTATATTAATGTTTTAGAAACTGAACTCAACGTCAAAATTGATGAAGCCGTAGACTATTGGTTTTGACTCAAACCCACTTTTAACAATATTTCAAAGCAAATATTAAAACATTTAGAAAATATTACGTCATATCATTATTGTATTTTATAGTATTTGAGTATTTTATATGATGATCTATTCAGAGCAATTCTCACTTTCTATAATTCATTATATTTCTTGACTTGTTTCGGTCTTTAATAAGGATTGGGAATATAAGAGTCTATAATTAGTATAGATAAAGATAAGTATTTTGAATTTTGTATCACATTATATCCCCACAATATACATGCAGAAATATTATTGTGAGTCTATGTTCTCTCTTTTCCTTCTCTACCCAAATCTATATAATTTCAACATGATAACCAACACCATCCTCCATGACTTATTTCATAAATATTCCACCAGTAAGTCCCCTAAAATCTGGGGCGCTCTGCTTTATTTCCATCACTACTCTCCTCCCTGTTAGAAGATTCTAATCTTATCGGTAGTTGGATTTGGCTTGTAGTAGTATAAGCACTTGACCTAATTATCATCACACTACAAGCTCAACTCAAGTGCATCTTAGATTTATGCAAATACAACATCGGTGGTTGAGTTTTCTGGCATAGACAGCAATGACCATTGGTTGCCATTAGCTTGATAGTGACCAACGATCTTGTGACAGCTTTCAGTAGCAGATTTCAGCTTTGGGTTGCAGTTTCTGGGAGGCCCATGTGTATACTGGTTGCGTACGTCCAAAGTTAGGCTTTCGCTTCATCACACCATTGTTGGTCAAGCCCGGCCCCACCTGTTCGCCATTTCCCCTTGGCTGTTTGGCTCCAATGGGCTGCTTTGTGTTCAGTGATCAAATTTTACATGTTCTCAGTCTATCCATCAGGTTTGGCGCAATCTGTCTTTTTCTCACCACTCTTAATAGTGGTTTATCACTGGTTTGTTACTATCTAAGTTATGCCTAATGTAAAGAAGAAAAATGTACGAAGGTGTTTGTCAAGATTTCCTTTGGCATTAAGGAATTGTGCCTGTGGTCTCCTAACTTATTCACCAGATGGTCATTCCAATGGTGATATTTTTGACACTAACCAATCATACTGCCAGTGACTCGTGTTGGCTATGAGCCTATGACTCACCCCAGCCCCATCTTTGTCCTAAAGATTTAGTCTGGCCCGTCTTTGTCCCAGACCGCTGTTTTTTGTCAAGATGCGGTTTGCGCTAGCCCCCTAGTCCCAGATGCAGTCCAGTCGCATATCTAGTCCAAGATGTTGTTGCTAATCACAATGATATTTTTATTTTCTTGTCATGTAGAACTTAACTGTAACAGATGTGTAGAAAATATATCATAATACCACAATTGTTTCTTAGACAATTTAGTAAATCTTAGACAATCTTTAAGGAGTAGTTTCCCAATTTCATCATATATCCTTATTTTCCTCTCTATTAATTAAGATTAGGAGTCAAGACTTAGGTCCGTTTGGTAAAAATAAGTTATAAGCTAGACGATTGCTAGCTTATAGCTGAAAGTTTATAGCTAAAAAGTTAGTTGATCGAAATTAAAATGATTGGTAAAATCAGCTTTTGAAGTGACTAATAAACATAAAATGACATAAAGTACACTTGTTTAATTTTTTTATAAATATATTTATAAACATATTTTACATAAAATATATTTATTTTTTAAAAAAAATCATTTTAAAGTAACTTTAGCCTTTAAAATGTAATGAGTTTAATTGATTATTTTCCATTAACTAACCTTGTCCAAAAAGGTAAATATCATATATGAATTCAATAGAAAGAGCAATATGTTTTATATAAAAAAAAAATTTTTTTTAAAAAGAGCCAATTAATAACAAAAGACAGTGCATCAAAAAAAGAAGAGGAAGTGCAGTTGTTTTTCGGTTCCAAAAAACTAATATGGGGAGTTTATTTTAGTGGGCAGTTTTTTTAAATAATAAAATAAATTAAAAGGTTAAAATGGGAGAAAATGTAAGAAGCTATAAGCTAGTGAAAAAAAACTTGTTTACCAACACGTCTAATTTGATGGAACAGGCTTATAAGCTAATTTAGTAAGCTATAAGCTTAGCTTAGTAACATTACCAAACAGAGTCTTGGGATAAACAAGGGTTAAAGCTTTCATTCTGCATGACACCATATCCAATCAATAGATGTTAGAAGAGAAATTCTAGGGTCACGCCATTAAACACTCTTTTGAACATAGCCATGGACATGAAGCCACATCACTCTCAGCTTTCTTTCTTTTACTTGGTTACGGATACCACAATTTGAGTTATTATCTTTTTTTATTTTTATTATTGGGGTTTAATCACTCTCACCCAAAACTGTTTCCACAAATTCACCTTATTCTGGCACAAAAATCCAAAGCAGAGTGTTCCAGCATACCACAGTTTTGTTTTATAAATGAACTCTTCTTTGCAATACCGAAACACACCTCGATGTTAGTGTTGTCGCAAACATTTAGTATTATTCCATTTTAAAGAGAATTAAGTCAATTGTATCAGTTATTTGCCTTTAGAATCAAAACATAATCATAAACAAAAGAATTAGTAGATTTAACACACAAGATTCCACTATAATTAAAATACCTGCGTCTTTCTTGAGCATCAACAAAATCATTATAAACTCTCAGCATGTCCCATGCAACAGACTTCTGATACCCATGAGAAGAAACAAACAGTATAAGAGTATTAATATGTTAGTGATAGAATAAATCTGTATTATGACTACATGATTATTCATAAAAATGAGACATCAGTGTCAATAGTAAGATTTGAAAATGAGGAAAAGGTAATATTTTTTTGATGTAGGGGCTCAGAAGATATATTAGAGATATCCAAGGATTCTCCTGCTCAAGAGGATTGATACTTTATCAATTTGAAATTGCTTGGTACAGGTAGAAGCCCTCCTAGAGCATAAGGCGTAGAATAGTGAGAACTTTTGGCAATAACTGTGCTCAATTTGATACTAATGATAATTAATTAAGACAACTATTAGCTACAATGACAAATCTGATATCAATTATCATGCATCTCTAAACAGTTGCAATTGAAGAAAACAGTTGCAATTGCAACTGTTTCTAGTTTAGTTTAAGTATACTATGTTATCATCACTCGGAAGGATTTTTGCAACTACGAATTGAATCATCATATATCAAATACACAATAAATAAAAATCACCAAAGACTTCTTTACAAGAAAAAGTTACATGTAATACCTGCCATCCTTGGTCCAGAAATAATTTTTCCTTTGCAATTAAAGTTGGTGTGGCATAAATGCCTAACAGAGGACAACCTCGGCACTGATGCAAAACAGAAAAGATGCCACCTTATGGTTTATACCATATTCTAAACGTACAATCACCGTCAATCAGAAGCAAAATTATCGCTACAAAAACAGTAAAAGTCACGTAGCATATGTGGAAAAGTACAACATCAAATCTTAAATAAATTAAAGCCTCGAAGGCTTAAGTCATTCAAATTCAACACAAGTTTCTCCTTGATCAGAATGAAGTCCACAAGGAAGAATTATCAAAATCAATAGGGTAAAGAAAATTATCTGGAGTGAAGACCCATAAAGGGTAAACAAGGGAATCAAAAGAAATAAAAAGCAGAAGACATTCAATCAATTAGGGGAATGTGAATATTACTAGGAAGGAAGAACCGAAGAGGAAAAAACAGAGACATGCATGCTGGATTTGAGAACATGACCCAAAAGATGAACAAAGACAGCCATGATGCAACATGCACGGACAGAGACTAAAGGAAGACCAGAGTCCTGGACACGGGCGAGCACTGAAACAGAAACAGTGGCTGGCAAGTGAGTGCTTTCAGATTGAAACAGAAGCCAGACAAGTTTGTTTTGCTTTGAAACAGAAATGTGCGTGTGTGAGTTTCTTTCATTTTTGTAGCTAGACTAGCTTTCGGCAATAGACAGCTGTCATGAATTGTTAGTTGTTTGGTTATACTGTTTGTATCTGCCTACTCTAGATATAAATATTGTATTTGTATCAAAAACTCTCTTTGGAACTCTATTTATTTTTCACCAATATCAGAAACTGTTCTCTCTCATTCACTCTACTAGTTGACTTCTAAAACCCTATAATGTTTCTTTTGAAATTAGAGGAGAAATCGTGTAAGTATCCAAGAAGATTGAGCTGAAAATTTTCGAAAAATGGGGGGCAAAGATGGGTTTTAACCCACATGTGGAGATAGCAACTTTAATTTACAAAGCTATCATCCAAAAGCCCATGCATTGCAACTAATCTATGATGCAAAAAGTGCAGTGTCATGAATAGTTTTGGGGTATTAAATCATCCCTTCCCACAAATATTCTTCAGAGACTTGAATTCCCATTAGCGCATTTAAAGCCCATCTCACTAAGGCTCCAGAGCATTACTACTTACCACACACTTATGAGTAAATAGAATAATGAACAAAAAGAAGGTACGGCAATTAGAGAGAGAGTATAAAAGGCAAAAGCACATATGATATGTCTGTTAAGAGAGAGACCAAAAATCCACTTTTGAGATGAGACACTTTCAATTCAATGGTAAATTCGAAATATCAATTGTGATCTAAATACAAAACTTTTTAAAACCACAGTATAGAACAAAATACAAAACTTCGACATCCATACCTCCAAGTTTCGGATCATCTGCTGCCCAAAAGCATCATCTGGATGGATCTGTCAAGAAAGTATGATATAATACAAAGAAGATCCAAGTTTATTCCCATAAAAAATAGTAGAGTGAGAAACCATGAAGGTTATAACCTGCTCATAAAGAAAAAATATTGCTGTTGAAAATGTTCGACAGGCCCAGCCAACAACTTCATGACTTGAATCAGGATCCAAGTAAATCAGAACACATTCTGCAATTATAAAAGTTGGCAGGCTGATAACAACATCAGAATGAATCAATTTATCATACGTGGATCTTGAAAAGCATGTGTCAACACATTTACATACACACAAATATATAAAACAGCAAAAGATACAAGAAATTATCATTAAATCCTCCAACTTTGAGTGTTGTTAGCAAATATAAGATCATAACTCTATAAACATATTTATTATATAATACTAAGTTAGTACATGAAGCCATAGAAATAACATTTTGTTAGACCCCTCATAAAGAATACTTATAAGAGGAAGGGGCACCAATAAAGCAGGATAAATGCTCTCAAGTAATAGCAGCACAGGCATATAAGCAGGCATGTTAATGGTATCCGTAGCAGTTACAGATTTCTAAAGGCATCAGTTATTATTATTATTAGAGTAACAATTAATAGTAGGAAGAGTTACAAAACCTAGGTAGAATAAAAGAGGAAACAGAACTGTGTTCTGATCATCCTGAAGTTGTGAGTGTTAAGACACTTGGGAGGGAGAGAACAAAGCTCTCGAATCTTGGTGTGTGTGTCCTAATATTCTGCACTATTTTCTATAGCTATTGTAAGCATAATATTCTGGTCCTTTGATTGTCCACCAGAATTATCATCAATAAAGTATCCCTATTCTCCAAATTATTTCTGTTCAGTGCCAGTTTCTATCACATTACAATTAAGAATTCTTATGCCTGACTAGTTTCTTCATGTCACTTCCCATTTCTTAAATATAAAATACTATATGATTGTAATATATATAAAGGAACACAGCACCAGTCACCAATTATAAAATTCAGAAATATCTTCAAAGTCATTTTCAATTTTTAAAATTATAGATTATATAAGCTCTTTTTATTTATAGTTATCACTTTCCCAGGAGATGCTAAAAAGTTATTAATTATATCCATCGGTAAAGGCACCTCAAAATGTTCTGATGTACATATGCAAGCTGTATGAAGAAATACAACATTGCAGGCTAGTTGTTGAATTCAGAAGCCTGACCTTTTAAAAATTTATAAGGTATTTAAATGAGAAAGAAAACAGAGAAACAACACGGGAGAAGGTATCAAAACTGTGTTTTAAACCCTTTCTGATTTAGTCAGATTCTAAGAGGTATTTTATTTAGTTTCACATATATTCCTAGAAAGGAGCTGATACATCCAACAATTATGAATTATAGGTGGGCTGTAACAGAGTTTCACAAACAAGAGAGAAGGAGAGACAGAGAGAGAATTGAATCCCAATACATACCTAGGATCCAACTCGGTAATGGTTATAATATCATTTAATTGTTTTACATCACGCAAATCTGCAGGGACTAGTTTATAATGAGCACTGACCACTTCTCCTTTCTCTGGCAATGAATGAAACATAACAAGCATCAGTACAAATCAGCAGTAATCATGAATGCTAATATTCAGCATTGATGTTTCTAATTATCACAGTGAAAAGGTTGTATCGGGTCATCCTCAATGCTACAAATCAAGTTAGTTTTTCAATGTTTGTAGTTCTGAGATTAAACTGAGTGGCGGAATAAAAAATTCACTAATCTTCTTCAGTTCACCCAAGCAATTATTTTGCTTTAGTAATAATGTAGGGTTGAAGAGATATAGATAATACTATTTTCAGCTTTATTTTAATCTAATTTATTCTGAGATAAGTTAGATACCACATGATAGCACAAAAGAAAAGGACATCGCCTGAATATGAGATTAAAATCATAAGCCAATGTCCTTTGAACACAAAGCATCGTAATCAACACTACTTACCTCTTGAAATGGAAGCTATTTCCCCAAGTTTATTCTTCAATTGACTGCAAGTCTCAATAAGGGCCGCCTTTTTACTTGTTACCTGGATGACAAGCATAATAGTAGTTTAGCTCTCTTTATCAATAATGGGAGTTAACAACTCACAATTTAAAGACTATATGGAGCTTTTTATAATTCATTTTGCAATTAAACATATATTGACGGAAACCAGATTGCATTAACCGTTAGTTTCTTGACGAAACGTCTATGATCAATCCAGTTCATAACCCATTAACAACTAGAAATTAGGGTTGCATTGGCTAATAAAACTTTTGAAAGATATTCAGGTTTCTACCTCCTTAAAGTCCACTTCCACATATAAATGTGGTGCTTTCCCCTCATCCTGTCGAGAAGAGATTTTAAATATGTAAGTTACAACTATAAATTGGCACACAGCTATACACCATAGGTTAATGAGGCTAAACAAAACGCTACGAGAAAATCAGGAACATGGTAATGGGTAACAACGTATGAAGTTTTACACGCCTAGAATCACATCCAAACAAGAGGATGGAGATCGTTAGAAAACAAGGACCGCATCGTGCATCATACAAATTTATTTTTAGTATCTTTGATGTGCATGGGAAAAGAAGAAATCAATCTTCTTTGACACCAATCTATGATACAATAATGTTGAAATATAAACAATAGATAGAGTGATTGAAAATAATAGAAAATTTATGTACATAAACTTTAGAGTAATTGTTCGACTGTTTATGTTTCGCCTTACAAATAATGCATATTTTGCACACCTATTAATGTTGTATAACTTAAATACACACCAAAATCTTGTGTGGTACAAGATTATTCTACATAATGAGCAGCATTTACATAAGGACACAGCAACAACCATGTCCAACTACATTTTTTGTAGCCGTCAGAACAACTATAAGAAATAAAGAGAGCAAGAATAGAAACAGAAGTGAAAGCAAAAGCATCAGTCAAGAGAATTCGCAAGTAAATTATATATGTGGTAGAATATTCCACCCGTCTATAGTTCAAGTTAAAATTATAAAAAAGGACAAGTATAAAAATCTTTGAAATTTATTAACAGGTAATTGATGTTAACAATTTTGTATTCATCCAAATTAATACACCTCCTTAAACAATTTTGTCTCTATTATTTTTTCCTTAAACAAATTTACATGACATACCCACACATTTTGGAGAGGAAGTTACATTCAACCTAAAAAAATAAAAATAAAATAAGAGCTAAAGCACATTTGTGGCATGAGAACTTAGTTTTCGAAATATTTGATGCTCCAAATGTCTAGGTTTTGATTCTTTTGTAGCACAGAGTATGACATACTGTCTAAAGAGAATAAGATTGTGAAGGCAGCAAACAGTTACCACAAGAAAGAAATAAAAAATGTCCTTGCGTCTTGTTAAAACAAGAGATACTAAATTTCACCAAGATTTGAATGCAAAAACTTTTAGGTCAATGATAATTCAATCCAGCCAGACCTCCATTTGACCAGCACGGCTCCAAAATAAGAGGTAATTTATAGTTTTAAAAGCTGAAGCAGATTAACTTTAAGTACAATTAGCACAGCACAACTCAAACTCAAGCACCTGCAACTGAAAATATGTTGTATCAAAGCCTGCTCCAAGTGATAATATCTGCATCTTTGTTGGGCCATTTTCATCAGTCTTTTTCTCAACATCAAGAAACTGGTAGAGAAGTTTCCGGAGGGCAGCCCAACGAGAAAAGTAACCTTCATACTCAAACAAGTAAAAAAAATTAACAAGCTACTAATTTGAAGGATAGGTACTTACATAAGTCAATTCCTTAAAGAAACTAAATCCTACCACGATTAATAATTGGAGATCTCCTTACAGGCCTTCTCACAAATAAATGAATGTAATCATCTTTCATGTATCCCTTTTTCACACATGACCTACAGCCAGTTTCGGGGGAGTAAATATTCATCATGTAAGAAAAACATCTATAATTCATTTAAACTTTAATAAACTGAATAAAAGACGAAAATTTCTGACGAGAAAGAAGAAGAATATCAACATTATCAAAACAAATGTTACATTACTTGGAATGCTATCTGCAATATAGTAATAGTACGTGACTTTCCAATACAAAGAATGGACATGTAGATCTAAAGAAGTTCTCTATAACAGACCATAGTTCTTTCGCATGAATTCAATCTATATTATTAAGCGGTAAAAGTAATTTTGGATAGACCCGTTTTCCATTTAAGAAAACCAACCAAAGGCCGTAATATTTTTTGCAATTGTTTCTCTATCATGTTTTATATTAATGTATTTGGGGATTCAAACTTAAGACTAAAAAAAAACTGAGAAAAATATCCTCTTCACTTCCACTCTCTCTCCATTTCTCCAATCAATTACTAAATTTTTGGAGTGATTTCAAGAATAGAAAGGATTTTGTACCCTACCTAATGTCACACTATCATGCTTAAATTCCAAAAACTATAGTAATGAAGGAATTTGAGAGAATAATAAATGAAGAGATTCGTTCCCTAGGTGCAAACAATCCCAGTGTTGGGACAATCCATAAAGAGCTTTACTCTGGCTTTAAATGCCCCCCGTTAGTGGACACTGGGATTGGTCCCTTTAGATTAATCGTTCGCAAGGCCGGATACCAAGCTTTCGGAAAAAAGAAAGAAGAGGATTCATTCCCTAAAATAAGGGGTATACTATAATCATTGTCTAGCTATTGCATCTATCATAACATAGGTTTAAACACATCAGCTTTTAGATATGTTATTAATCTACCAAAAAAAGATTTAAAAAAACTACAATGGTACAGAATAAGCAAAATAAGCAAAATCCTAAAGAACATGAAATGAAACAATAATCAATTAATCATGCATGAAAAACTTAAAACTGAAGCCGAACAAAAAGCTAAAAAAACAATTCATAGGATGTATCATACTCCAATTTATGAACAAATTCGGATTGCAATCATGTTCACAAGCCACTAAACAAAGACAAACAACATTGCATGATTCCGAATGTACCAAAAACGGAAATCTGAAATAGGTTACAAAGATAACACAAATTGATTATGATGGTGATTTCAATTGATAAAGGAGAAAGGGGTGAGTGCGTACAATTTACTGGCGGAAGCGTCGTCGTTGGTTGCTTGTACCGCCGCAGTGTTACTGTTGTCGATGCGTGAATCGGCCAATGCATCCGCCATCGTTGAGTTGAATAAGGAACGAAGGTGATTCTGTTGTTAGGTTTTGCCTGCGAATTGAAAAACAACAGACTCGTCTTCTTCTATCTTTTTATCTTTCTTAATTGTAGATTTATTTTGCAATTTTACACCTCTTAATTTATTTTTTGGTTACATACACCTCCTGATTTTTACATTTTTAAAATTTAACCACCTCCCTAAAAATATTAAATATGTAATTAATATTATTGTTATTTTGATTTATATTTATTTTTATTTAAATTTTTTGAAATGTATGTAACAATATTTTTTAGATTGTTTTATTTTATTATTTGTGTGTAAGTTGATTTTGGAAAAAATAAATATTTTTATAAAGAAAATTGATTTTATTAAATGGATGGTGGTGGAGCAGATACAAATCAACCAGGTTTTCGGTTTAGTGTTTATTTGGTTCAATCGATTAAATTTACGGTTCAACCGTTTATTAAATAAATTAACAATATAAAACTAAATTTTATAAATAAGTCATGTAATCATATATCCACAAATTAATAAAATAAATATTTTAAAAATCTATTACAAATTTAATATTATGATATCAATGGTGGATATAATTACACAATATAATGATACACTTAAAGAAACAAAATTATAACATAGTGTTACATCTTTAAAATTTGTGTTCTTTTTCAGTTAAAGATGGGTTTGAAAAATATTTTAAGTATTGATGTTAACATATTAATCATTTTAAATTTTTTATTAAAAAAAATTAAAATTTATCAATGACAGTCATGTCTTTGAACTGACCAATTTTATAAAACCGACCTTGACTCTTTGATTTAAATGGTTTTGAGCGGTTCAACTCAATTTTTCTGATTTTGACCTACCTACAATTTTACAAGGTCGGTCGGACCGGAGTCACCTCCGATTCCTGATCCAACCGATTAAATTGAACGGTTCGGTCAGATTTTTAAAACATTGTTTTCTTAATTGCATATTTACTTTTCAATTTTAGACCTCTTAATTTTTTCATTTTTAAAATTTAACCCACCTCCCGGAAGTTTGATAATATACACGATTTTATTTTATTGTTGGATGAGAGTGAGAGGAATAGGAAGAGGGGTCACAACGGGATATGTCTATCTAAGGGTGGTAAAGGAGCATATACGTTATGTTTATGTTTATGTTCGCCCTATAAAAATCAGAAGATAAAAAACAGGTAAAACAGAATGGGCATGATTGAAGGCTTCAACCTAGGCATGACAACATAACTCGTACCCCGCGAGTAACCGCCCCAGTCCTCTCCGAATTTGACGAGAAAAACTCATTTTGATTGGATTTGGATTTGAGTTTGAATTTTCTTCGATTACAAAATATAGAAATGGGTCGGGTAATTGAGACACCAGTACTCACCCTGGATCTGCCATGTTTATTTTATTATTTAGTTTTGATAATTTAAAATATTAAATATATGGTCGAAGTTTTGATATTTTCATTTGTATTTATTATTTAAAATTGAAATTCTGGCAGCAGATACTCAATGTCACAGTGAATGTTATGACACCGTATCTGACTTTCTATAAGACAGTAAATAAAAACAGTAAAGAACACAGTCAATTGTTTACCCAGTTCAGTGTGAAACAACACCTACTCTGGGGGCTACCAAGCCAGGGAGGAAATCCACTATAAGAGATATTAATTCAGGAATAAACCAACCAGTTTATCTCCTTCACTTAAGACCTACCCAATGCAACTTCAATCTAAGTTCAACTTAAACCTGAGTTCCTACTCACTCCCCCTCAATCACAGCAGTGATACTTAAAACAATTGACTAATGAATTAATGAAGACACTCTTCAGAACATACACTTGATTATGCTTCACAGCTTTTTAATCAAGTAACACAAACACTCTTGCTTCACAGCTTTGAGTGATACATAAACCTAACTTGACTTTGCTTCAAAGCTTTAGTCAAGAGACACAAAACACTCTTGCTTCAAAGCTTTGAGTGATACAAAAAACCCTTACAATCAAAACCTATTCCAAGTCATTTATCACAATGATACTTGCTTGGATTACAGTAGTTAAAACTATACAGCTCCTAATTGATCTTCAGTCCAAAAAGGGATATTTTCCAAACAGCAATCATGTTGAATATATAGCAGTTGTTTCTTCAGTTAGGGTTTCCACAAAAAGCTAGGGTTAATTCGGTTTAACCATAAGACTTGGTCACAAGACTTTATCAACCAGTTTAGGGTTGAGCTAGGTTAACCCAAAGACAACGGGAGATTCTGTTCTGGAAGGAATGAGCCAACTTCCTGAAAAAACTCAGAATTAACCAAATTGCACTACTGTTAGATCAGTACAGGATGTCTTAACATTTGTTATGACATCAGAATTCCTGTTTACTGATTTTGGTAGAAGGCAATAAATGTGATATTTTGCAAAATGCTCAGATACACACTCATACACAGTAGCTACTGTATGCCATAATTTTTCTGCATAAAGTACCTAATAAACCAGAATGTTATGACATCAGTCATGACATTTACACACCTGGTTTTACCAAAAATACATGCCAATAACTAAACACTTACAAACTCCCCCTTTGGCAGATTTTTGGCTAAAACCCCTAAGCAATCAGAGAATATAGAGCAGCAGAATGAATATGACTGCAGAAAAATATAATGTCTACCAGCAGGAAATTAACACAAAATATCTCCCCCTCTTTAGCCACAAATGGGCCAAAGAAACATGTACTTAAATGTTATACAGTTATCCAAAATAGGTAATAAAAACAACAAATAAAATCTGAAGACACTTGCATTAACAACATCATCATCATGCTTGTCAATTCCACCAAACTTTAAGCACTGACACCTTCAGAGGAGCTACTTTCTTCAGCATTGAGCTGATCTTCAGCAGCACCCTCTTCCCTTCTGTTTCCTTCAGTCTCCTCCTGTTCTAATTTGGCAATTAGGTTTTCTAGAGTCTTTTTCCTGGTCTCCAGCTCTTTGCAGGTCTCTTTCAATACAGCTATAACATCAGATGTCTTGGACTGAGTTTTTGCAGATGATGTCTCAGCTGATGTTATGACAATGTCAGGAACATGAGATCCCTGAAACAGCTTGTAGTGTAACCCAATAACAGGAGCTCTTTTGCAAGCAGTGTCTCTTTCCACCAGGATATCAGGGTACTGAGCAAGGATGATTTCACATAGGAGGGAGGGAAAGGCAATTGGGCCTTTAACAGCATAGCTACCAGCATGTTTTAAAGTTTGATCAAAAATGTACCTGCCATAGTCAAATTCAGTCCTGGTACCAACAGCATAAATGAATCTCCCCAATCCTGTAGAGATGGTTGATTTATGGTTTGTAGGGACCCAGTTGGCTGCACCAATCTTGTGCAGGATGGCAAATTTTATGCTTAGCTTGCTAGCGTTTAGCTTGCCTTTTGAGGGCCAGCACTTGACTTGTCTTGCTGTGATGGTTTGGCAAACTTCATTGTCAGTAACTTCCAGTTCAGGGCAAGCCTCATTTGATCTTCCAAGAAATTTGTTAATTTCAGATGGAGAGAAATTAACCCTTCTTCCTCTCACATATACACATTCAAAGTCAGCTGACCTTCCATCAGCACATTCATCAGACAAATTCACTATGAATTCCTTGACCAGATTTTCATAGCATTTGGTAAGTTTTACCACAGTCTTCATTAGTCCAGCAGCTTTGATCAGGTCCATGATTTCCTTGCAATCCATGGCACCATTATTTAGTTCTCTTTCCAAGGCTATTCTCTTCAAGCAAACATACTTCCATCTGTTGGCATTTTCAGGGTGGTGAAATGAAATGTTGTCAGTGGGGACTTCAGGAACTCTAGCCATTTTGCTGGAAGGGAGTTTCCTTCTGAGAGGAATGTCTTCAGCATCAATTTCAAATTCTGATTCCTCATCAGAATCAGTAGGCTCAGGTTCTTTTCTCTTCTTTATTATTGGTTGTCTTGCAGCCTTTGAGAGACTCCCAGTATGCACTTGGGCTTTCACCTTCCCTTTGGACAGTCCAGTCTTCACAGTACCAGTCTTCCCTTCAGACCTGGTTTTCTTATCAGCAGGTTTCTCTTTGTTCAGACCTTTTGCAGCATCTTGATTACCCTTCCTGTTCATCATTCTCCTAGTTATGCTAGGGTTGATATTTGCAATCAGGTCATTGTCTGAGTATTCCTCATCCACATCAATAACAGGTGGTTCAACATTCTTTTCTGAGGGGTTCTGAATATCATCAAGGTTTTCAGATGACTTTTGAATGTTGTCATTTGGTGTCTCAACATTCTCAGAGACATCTGGATTTGCTTCAACATTTGGGCTTGCTGATTCTTGATTTAATGGAACAGAAATCCCCGGTACAGAGTGGTTCTCACTCAGGATTCTTGTAACAAGCCTAGCTATTGCTTGATGTACATAAGCTGATCCTTCCCTATTTGGTACAGAAGATGAAGGTTGAGAGGGATTACCAGATGAAGTAGCCTGAGACCTTCCTGCATGCCTTGTTCTCAGCTTTTTGACCTTGGAAGGGTTAGTTGCCATTTCTCTAAGAGGAGTAATTTCCAGGACTTCAGTATCCATGCATGAGGTGATTGCCCGAGAATCTTGATCAGATGATGAGGATGAAACGGTCGTCTTGGATGAGGATGATGTTTGAGACATTCTGATAGTCTTAGAAAACCAGTACCAACTAGAGAGAAAACTTTGATTGAGAGATTGGGAGTTGTTGCAAAGTCGAGAGAGGAAGGAGGCAAATGTGTGTCTATTCAACTTCTTAATAATTTTGAAAGAATTGGGGAAATATATGATTAACCCACTCAAAATAGACTCAACAAAAATAACTCCTTCAACCCTTGTTTTGAGCAAAATTAATTGCTATAATTTCTCATGTTGGCAAATACCCAACTTGCCCCTCAAGTTTTCAAATTGATTTGCATCAAGAGCTTTGGTAAAAATGTCAGCCAGCTGTAGCTTAATGGCAACATGTT